GATAGTGATTCTTTACAATTGTGATATATTTGGATGCCCCTGTGGATGTATTAAATTCATCAGAAATTTTAGCCCCTAAAACACTTCTGCTTTCGAGAAGCATTGAATATAAAGATTAACCGGTGCTCCCGGTAAATTTTGATAATTTTCAAATAGCTCCTACGGTCGTACAATGGTAGCTGCGACCATGAAAATCTCAGAGTATGTAGTTTAGGTATATAATTTCTGAACGAGAATAGCTTATCGGTCGATTTTAGTCAATGAACATTGTTTTATAGCTTAATTGATATCTTGACCTTGAGAGGGAGCTATTCAACATAAAGTGTTTATTATTTACAATTTCATAACTTTAGAGTCGATTTCGACCGCGACAACGATCACTGGATATTGTTGGATCGTATATGCTTCCAATATGTTCATTTGAACCAAATTCATGACCCCATACCAAAACTTTGTATTACCTTTAAGTATAAATATATATATATATAATTTATTTGTCTTGTCTTATGTTTTCACCTCAATTATGAATGTATAATATCATATATTCGGCATGTGCCCGGAATAGAATCTTATTAATAAACCACTTCAATGCCATTCAATCCAATTGTCTTATACCTGGTTCTATGAAGTAGATAGCCTTACACTAGCTCGGATCAGATACATACAAGCTATGCTTTTTAATAAGGCTCCCCACATGTTACATTGTATTACCTTGTATCCCCCAAAAAGAGAATTTAAATTGTTTTTTTTTATGTAAGTATGGAATAAATAAACTTCAAACTTCAAAATTCAAATTTGAAGGGAAATTATACTCTGAATATGTCGATTACAATTAATATCCCACGATACTCGGTAACGTTGGTGACACAAAATGATCAAATACCATGGATTTGTCCAAATACCTAAAACGTTTACAGGTTGTCCGGTAACGAATGAAATACTTTCCCAGAATTAATACATACCAGTAAGATGTGAACAATATACAGCATTAAAAATAATTAAAACAATAATTAAAATAATTAAAAAAAAGCAGCCTCGTTTTGAAATGAAACTAAATACTGTACAATTCAGCCAGAATTTCCACACAAAAAATCGTTCATATTGGGCAACCAACAGGAACGTAAATCTCATTATCAATTCTCTGCAAATTTCTGGCAAAACTTGTGACCTGTGAAATTATATCTAGGTATCTATTATGTTCGATGCGGATGTGCAAAATGCCTGGAATTGAACAGAATACCCCCCAAATACATATACCTCTAACCACCAACTTTTAGGAAATTACCTTTAAATGGCCAATTCTCCTTCGTCACATTTTGTTCATGATGCCTACTAAGGATTAGGGCCTTTGCGATATACATGGATTGTGTAACTCTATTCCGATATATAGTGGCATTTGCTTGTATCAACAAAATGTAGCGTTAACGAGTCACAAATAATATCTTATACTCACTGTTTGCCTAGATTCTGCTAAATGCGAAATGAGTCGTCGAATGAGGCGTCGAGTCCTCTCCTCAGAAACATTTATCGAATTATAGCCGAGCTAAAAGGATTCACACTAATCTTACACAGTTCAAATAAAAGTAACGGGCAACAAGTGACAGAAGAAGTCTCTTCAAGAACGTGTTATAAGGCGTTTACAATGCCTCTTTCGCGGGATAAGAGGAAAATTTGTTTCTGGCACATGGATCCGGTTTAACAGATGCCAAAACATGCAGTGTGTCGAATATAACGAGTTAAAATCAATTCAGTGCAGATTCCCTTTGCACAAAATTTAATGTGCTCCGTTTTGTCATATTTTCAAGTAGAAATGACGGATAAACCCGTATGAAATGAAAGACAACGGCTGCGGGAGTCTGTATTTCACCGTCTGGTGTCATGGCATTGAGCAGGTACCTGATGCAAGGGTTAGTCAACCTTAGATCTTGTGGTCCAAAAACGAAACCAGAGGAAAACACATTACTAGATCTAGCTCACCAACCGAACAAAAGAATACATATCTCTCGCTCAATGATGTATAGATCCTGCTGTGTATTGTGATGCATTATAATACCATATTGTGATAAAACCGGCCTGGGGATTCCGCTCAACAAGTAGAAACCTTAGTCTGTTCCCAAACAGAAAGTGACTCACCCATCACATTATCTGATCATTTCTTTTCTGTGTGTGGCACGACAACATTATATTAACTGTTTAATCAAGAAAATGTGTTTCAATGGACAGCTTTATGGTGTTAACAAAAACTTTGAAATATGATTAGTTTGGATAAAAATGATTTGTTTTGATAACCCCTATATTATGAATAAATCACATTTTTCATCATATAATATTTTTATCTGATTTCGGAAATAAAAACAACAACAACAGCTTTAAGGTAAAGACCAGTATTAAAAAAAGCCCCAATTTCAAAAAATGAAATGGAAGCTCTCATTACCAATCATGTGAAAGAATATGTTTTGACTAATACATGATGATACAAAATTTGCCGGGAAACCGCCTACTAATTCATATAGTTGGTAAATTTGTTTCTCTCATGGTCTGTGAGAGATATAGGGTAGTCCCGTATACATCTTTCTGTGTATAGTGTTGTAACTTTATGAAGAATGGGCCAAATTTCTTATCATTTTGATGATTCCAGAACCTTGCAGATGCTAGATGCTAGATGATTAACCTTTTCTGATCGATTCCACAACGTTTCTTTCACAATGCAATCGCATGACCATAACTGGTCTTTACCTTTAACGGTTAAAAGCCTCTTAGGCTCAAGTATATAGCATGCCATAGCTAAATGCATGAATTAAGGTTTGAGGGTTTTCACATATTTCCTGCATTACATTATCATATATGTGAAATCTTGCTAACGATGGTGGACCTGAATATCAGGTACAATTAAGTTTCATAAACAGAAGCCACAATATTGCTTCCATTTCTACTTCATTTATATGTCTGTCTGTGTATTTTGGCGAAGAATGTTTGTATCAAAGAGGAAAGAAGTAATACCCAAATTTGGACATGCTTACACTTCAAATACATTTCCATTGTAATTTTACTCTAAAGAATTCATTCGACAAACGCATTTTGAGCATCTAATCACCCACCCACGCTCCCCGGGGTACAATCAGTGTTCATAATTTTTTTTGGGGTTTTAATGTAAAGCCTGCCTGCGTGAACATCATTACAAACATTTTCAATCGAGGTACGTTTTCCATTCAGAATGTTTCTTTCAAATGTGTTTTTCTTTCTTCTGTTACCCTTGTTAAAAGCCCAGCCCTATGCAATATCCTATTCACCTACGATACTGTGACGTGATAAAGAGTGTGCCAGTCCGCACACAATGGTATAACTAATGGGGTCGGTCATAGATTTGTGTGGTTTCCAGGCAAAGTTATTCGTTTCTCTCTCTCTCTCTCCCTCTCCCTCTCTCTCTCTCTCTCTCTCTCTCTCTTTGTGTTTAAAAAAAAAATCCAGGTTCCATGAGTAAACTGATGTCGTTCACACAATATAAATTAAGAAGAAGAAGAACAAAACAAAAAATACTACACAAACAATCAGTTTCATAACACAATAATGGGGTGTTTAGTTTGGCGTTGGGTAGTAAGGGAATGGGTCATAATTTGTTTCATATTATGACTGATTTCATTCCCCCCCCCCAAAAAAAAAATCGATCGTAATTTGTGAATCGTACATGTATTTAGTTAATCGAATCATGTTATTATCATGAAAAAGATTATATTTTGAAGAATTATTTGTAATTTTCTAATATTTAAACAAAAAAACAAAAAAAATTGCGGAAAAGCAAAAGGAGAATGTGTGGGTGGGTGCGCCTGTAGTTTTTTTACGGGAAATTTGAGATGTTTACTGTTCCAAACACAAAAAGCAAACAATCAGCGAAACCAGACGTCCTTTTGACATTCTTTTCAAGATGGAAATTCCTGCAAGACTCATTATTGTATATTAGTCCGCTAATGACATAGTGGGCAACGGGGGGGGGGGGGGGGGGGGTAAATTAACTTAATAGTGTGCTTAAAGTAGATCATTGGTATGAGAGACATGGTCTGATTGGCAATGTTGACGTGTAAGAGAGATAGAGAAGGAGAGAGCTCTGAGAGAGACAAAAGAGTGACCTTGCCTGGAAACCACACAAATATGTACGTATATGTTAACGAGGGTAAACAGAAGTAAGAAAACCACATTTCTGGCCAAATGTGGTTTTCGCCCGATGGGTTTCGAGGCGACCAAACAAAATTGGTGGGGGGAGGGGGTGGAGTTCGGCAAGGATCAATCTAAAGGAAACATACCTGGAATGAAATTATTTGTAATAATTTCATTCCAGGTTGGTTTTTACTTTTTTTATGATCACTGATTGTATAGGTTAAAGATAAACTCCAGTACTGGTAAAAAAAAAAAAAAAAAATTCTCACAGAATCAAACGAAACTTACACTGAATGTTCAAGATTACAAATAAATGACATGTGCCAAACAATTTTGGAAGAAAATGTATACTGGCTGAGTAATGAGCATAGAAAGACAAGGAAATCAAGGTAGTACGTACTAGCCCCGACACCATGTGTGTTGTCCCATATATAGCTTTCTATGTTAGTGCTTGTTACTTTACCAAGACTCGGTCAAATTTATTATGATTTTGATGACTCCAGAATCTTGCAGTGCACACCAATACTTACATGCTACATGATCAACTGTTTCTGATCCTTTCCACACCTTTTCTTTCACAATGCAATCGCATTACCAGTACTAAAGTTTATCTTTAAGTATGGGATAGAACGTAAGGGGCGCACCCACTATTCTTTTCCATCACAAAATATTTCTGAAATTAAAGGGCACGTCGTTAGGTTTCAAACCGTTTGTCGACTACGAAAGCTGATTCTATATATCATATAACATGATGTATATTCTATATAACATGATTAACATTTGTGATAATTATTCGAAGTTGCAAAAAAATAGAAAAGAAATAATCTCGTTTGTGCAACAAGGTTTGGTATCATGGATTAAGAAGTTTTATTACTACATATATATTCAAACTTGATCGATTACATTCACGATACTTATTTCAAATTACTAGCATGCAACTGAACATTATGGAAACTAACAAGAATACAGTACTTCGTTGTAATTCAGCAAAAATGTGTACTTTTTGTATTTCTTCTCTGTCTTTTCTTAATCTAATAATGCGCTTCGGAATAGTTTTTCTAGATAGATGGGGCAGTATAAGTGCGTTATATTACTAGTATGATTACTGCGAGTGCCCCTTTATTAAATCAGTGGTTTTAATTGTTACCTTTCAACACAAACGACTGGACAGCGCGGTGTGTGATCACATTATAACTCAATATAAAAGAGATATAGTGACATTTGGTGCACATCTATCTTTTGAGCGTTCCCTGAACCCTGTTGCTTGACGATGCTTCATTCACATGTAAAACAGGTGCAGTGATTGAGGAGTGGTAGGAGAGGGCTGGCAGGGGATGGGGGACTGGGGTTACTCCTCTTTCCATTGAGAGATGAGAGAGAGAGAGAGAGAGAGAGAGAGAGAGAGAGAGAGAGAGAAGGAAAGGGGGTGGGGTGGGTGGGAGTCCTGCAAATTAGGCCTACTTATTCAGACTTCATGTGTCATTATGTTGGGTGAAGACAATGATGATTTTATAGCAAGTATGGCCATTTTCTCTTCTAAAGTAAACCCAATGGCCCGAATTCACAAAGCAAGGTTTGAGCTCAGACCAAGGTTTGAGCTCAAACCTCCTTTTGTTTCGCCAAACCTCCTTTTGTTCTTTACAAACCAGGTTTGTAAAAAACGCGTAAAACGCGTCATATGACGTACGAAAACCAAGGTTTGTCGACAAACCTCCTTTGTGAATTCGGGCCGTTGGGTGCGTCATATTCTGTCTTGTTTTAAAAACCAATATTTCCGGCTGATTGGCCATTCTATTAAGTTACATGAAAGTGTTATGCTTTGTTCTTGCTTAGGCCCTTCTGTTTTCGACACTGCAGTTTTTCTGTAGGAAAGCCTTTTTCGAATGATATATTTAACCGTAAACTTCTTCTGTCCTTTACGATTGGTTTCAACGGTTCTGTGATAAAACAACAATTTGTTTGCTCTAGGTTCGATACAGGAAATCAAGAGTGGTGAGCCCAGTCTTAGTGATATTTTGAGAATGATTTAAAAAATGCGATCGCAACTTCACAAGTAGTTTCGAAAAATCAACACAAGGCTGTATCAATAGTATTGTCCATTACATATAACTGTGAGAACAATAAAATGATGTATAACGTAATCTGAACATAATTTCTATGGGATATACAATAGGATACTGAAATTGCCCTTGATTTGGTTTTTCGAAAGTCTTTGCGATCGTCGGTTCTAAAACATGTAAAATGAGTAAATGATGCAGTAGTAGTAATACGGGATCGTAATCATGTAGGCATAGATATACAAAGCAGGAGAGGACTGGAATGCGAATGTATAAAGTCGATAATCGATATTAATTTGTGTACTCTATTCATAAATCCTTCATTTCTATAATACCTGTATTCATAAATCCTTCATTTCTATAATACATGCATTCATAAATCCTTCATTTCTATAATACCTGTATTCAAAAATCCTTTATTTCTATAATACCTGTATTCATAAATCCTTCATTTCTATAATACATGTTTTCATAAATCCTTCATTTCTATAATACATGCATTCATAAATCCTTCATTTCGATAATACCTGTATTCAAAAATCCTTTATTTCTAAAATACATGTATTCATAAATCCTTCATTTCTATAATACATGTTTTTATAAATCCTTCATTTCTATAATACCTGTATTCAAAAATCCTTCATTTCTATAATACATGTATTCATAAATCCTTCATTTCTATAATACATGTTTTCATAAATCCTTCATTTCTATAATACATGCATTCATAAATTCTTCATTTCTATAATACATGTATGTTGATACTTAAAATGAGTTGGCAAGCATACATTACTTTATACAACTCTCTCCCAGATCCTAATCAAATGATTGGTCATGCGCGGTCACGTGTGATTCATTTACTGAGCCTATTGCACGCTTTTTCATGAAAAAGTGTGCAATAGTTTCCAGTACTATTGCACGCTTTTTTAGCGCATGTACATGATGCGCAGTAGTGCGCGTAGAGGTTAGCGCTTAATACTGTGTGTGCATAGGCCTATTCTTGCGCAGCACTATGCGTAAATGGGTATAGAGGTAAGTGCGCTTTCTATATCTATGTGTGCTCACTAAATTAAGCCCTAAACTTGAGATTTATTTGTCAGCCATACTGTAACAAAACAATCTTGAATGAATTATTTTTACGTCAAATAACAAGGATCTAGGAGTTTCGTTGTATAAAACAAATGATGCATGTTTACATTCGTTCATTAAACGATCTACCCGCCCTCGTTGATGCTGTATGTATCTATCGCACTCGGCCTAACGGCTTCGTGCAATAGATACACACAGCCTCAACTCGAGTGCGGATAGATCGTATAATGAACTCATGCGCATGCATCATTTGTATATTATTATTAGCAATGAATACATTATTTTTAGTTATACATTTTAAAATAATTATTCATCCGATATCTTATAAGTTTATAACGTGTTTAACACCTCCATGGAGTCACATTTGACACCTTCAAAAGCAACAATCTGGCTGACGTTAATTGCATATAAACACGCCATAGTGACGTTCCTTTCTGGCATTTTACTAAGCGCAACGTTTCCTAGGGCCTCTTCCGCGGGCACCATCTTTTTCGGGCAATGAACGATCTGAAGGGTGCGCATTAAGAGCCTCTTGAAGAACTTCTTGAAGACGGGATGTCTGAAGGCGTAGACGACAGGATTGATGCAGTTGTTGAAGTAGAGGATGGCGGTGGTGTATATCCCCGATAGGAGTACCCCAGGTGTCGCAAAGGCCACAGCCGTCGGGATAGTACAGCAGATGAAAGCAATGACAATGCTGAAGAGGTTCTTGGTGACCCTGACCTCTCTTTGACTGAGTCGTTTGATGTGATGCTGTCGTTCAACATTCTGGCTACGACTGCTCCCGAAGAAAACATGGAAGAGCTTTCGTTGCTGTCGGACATGCACCAAAATCCTGATGTAACAGCCGAGCATGATGATGATATGACTCCCGATTAGTAAAGCCAGAAAGTTATGATAAAAGTCACTCGTTTCTGTAGGACTCGTGAAGCATTGTTTATAGGGAGGATAATAAGAGTATTCGGTGAATTTAAAAACGTAAATTGGGATGTAGTTGTATAAACACGCTAGAATCCATGATAGAATAGCTAAGAAGATCTGTTTCTTGTGCGTGTTAAGACCGACTGGCGTGCGTATGTTTTTGGTAATGACGTAACATCGGTTTATGGCTATCAGAACCAGAGTGACAGCGCTGCAGGTAAATGTTACATAGATTACACCCCCTATGAAGCTGCAGATACGCGGAAACATATATCCATCACTAAGGATACCATACATCTGGAACGGAAGGATCATGCAGGTCAGGAGGTCAGCGATGGCCAGGTTGACTATCAACACATTGGTAGGGGTTTGCAGTTTGGGAGTGACGATCACGCCGACGACGACGAGACTGTTTCCAAGGATACCGAATATAGATGTGAAGAGGTAGATGGCTGCGATGACGAGCGAGTGAGGGTAGAGATCATAGATGTCAGTCTCATTATCGGTACAGTTGGTACAATTCTCAAATATCAAGGACATTTCTGTGTAAAGCTCCATCTTGAGATGCTGATCGATGTCACTATACAAACGTTGTTATATCACACATCTTTAAGATTCAGAGACTGCAATGAAAAAAAGGGAAGACATTATGAAAGCGTTATCATTGTATGCCATATTAATGAAGCTTTTCTAGGCAAAGTATTAGATCAACTTGACAGGACGTTGTAAAGTGCTAGTTCACTTGAATCTCAGTCCATTAGGGTTCGAATCCCAGCCCGGCACTAACTTCCTTTGGGTTGGAGGGTACCTACATGTAGCAATATTATGTTAAGGGTAATAGTAACTGTAGGACCCTCAAAAGGAACAGCTTTGATGGTTGATGCTGATGATGAGCCTTCCCTGGGTTAACAAAATTTGTTAGTTCAAATTTCAGCAAAAAAAAAATATATATGGGCGTCCCAGATGAAACGATAATTTAGTATCCAACCCCCTGAAAGTAGAATGAAACAATTCTAAGTTAATGCTGGAGGATAGGCACTTTTATGCAGGGTAGAGGGGCAGGGGCTGTGTGGTTGCTGCCGTTCCATATTCGGGCAACCGCCATCTGATATTCAGGAAGAGAGGCGGTCTGTTTTTATTTCCATATCTTTTCTGATGTATGAAATCAGATTGTCACTTGCAATAGTGTTAATATTTTTGCTCGGTTGTTCGCAACATTATGAGATTAGATTTCAGGCCCAGGAAATATTGTGCCAATACGCAAAAGTGTCATCTAGATTTTAGATGAATTTCTGACTGATTTTATAAGGAACAAGGAAGATTCTGCTGCTTCTGTGTACGACCTTGCATTTGTCAAACATTAGAAAGATGAATAATGAATAGTATACACCTGAACATAATTATCTGCATGGCAAACAGTTCAATGTAATCTACTCCATTCCACTTTTTTGTATTGATAAACTCGACATTTACACATTCAAATCTGATTTCATTTGTTAGATGCTATCAAATAATTGCCCAAGATTATTATAGCTCAAGAACCGGCACAAATTAATAGCAGTGTCGTGGTATAGTGGTTCATTCACTTGAATCTTGAATCCAAGGGTTGAGAGTTCGATAAAAACTTCCTTACCTATTATTCAATTCATTCTATTAATTTTCGTATTCAATAAAAACAATACAAAGGTATATACCATGATAAGTATTTGCAATATATAAGAAAATGAAAATAGGGAACTAAAAAGTAAGGGCTAATGTGGAGGCATAGTTCCCCGAACAGTAGTTAAGAGATTTACATATACAAACAAAACTAAAAAAGAAACATACATGACGGATCATGACAGGGACATCGTTCATGGCAGGTAATAAAAATGGAAATAATCATTACAAAATCAAAGGTTTTAAAACAGTTATAGGTAATGCTGTATAATATGAATATGGGTACAAGAATTAATGATATTTGGTTATTTATTATTATTAATTACCTTTAAATGGCCAATACTCCTTCGTTCAAGGATACTACGCATTGATAGTATCTTTAAAATGTTGAAATGCAAGCTAGGTTTCACAAAATGCATCAACCTACGCTTCATAGTTTTATCTTAAACCATTGTGTATTTTTATGCAGGAGATAACATGAGAACACAATTACGTTTTTGCCATCCCGTATAGAGGTTTTACATGTCGTTATGAGATGACTCATTCAACATTATATTCGTTAAAGCCTAAATAAACTTTCAGTGAGGTAATTTGAAATTCAGCCGTTTTTCTGAAATATGACCGCAAATAGCACGAGACATGTTTTCTCATGTCCGATATGGAAGGAATACTATATCATTCCAGTCAGACATAGGTGATATATGTGACTTGATATCACTATCGGCTGGTATTTTGATGACATTAATTATGTGGGTTGAAAATATAAATATCCCGACTAAAACATAGTTTACAGAGATTACAACGAATATACAACTCCAAAGTTATTTGGTATTTTGGTGTCTCATACGTTTTAAAGAATCATAGAAAATGACAAGTGAACATCAAACATTACGTGTATCATTTTCCCTGATGTTAAGTTCATCCGATTTATTTGTTTACCTCAATAATTATATAATATCATTCGGCATGCATGTGGCCGGAATAAAATCTTATTAATAAACAAACCACTGCAATGCCATTCAATCCAATTTTCGTATACCTGGTTCTATGAATTAGATAGCCTTGCTCTAGCTCGTAGTAGATAAAATATGAAGGGATAATATACTCTGAATATGTCGATTACAATCAATATCCTACGATACTCGATAACGTACGGGACACCAAATGATCAAATGCCACGGACTTGCCAAAATACCTAACGTCTACAAGTTGTCAGGACACGTATGGAATAAAACACTTTGAACTTGCCAATAATCTAATCAATATCTTACCATTCCGTCAACTTCTCAATATCTTGGTCCAGACGGCACGGGTTGCTATGCAAGAAGTAATTGTCCATGATTCATTTCCGACGCAGACTAATGGTATCTGCCTATAAGAATTTCCACAAACATTGGCAGTGGTGGAGAATTGTAAGTTACAATGGGTACGTAGAGATTAGTACTGGTCGAACCTTCCCTTTCAGTACGACCCCCAATCTCATTAGTCTAGATTCGTTCTGGTATCGATGGCGTCAAAAGTGGCATTGGTATAGGTCATTAATGGAATCCATTGGCCCGACAACAACCACCCTGTTACATAATCCTGCCTTCCGTGTTAAGATTATAATTAGTTTGATGGAACGTAGGCTGTATTTACAGTGTATGAATATATCCGCTTCCAGGAATGGGCGTCAATTGATTAATATTCGTCGCAGGTAATCAATCGAATCCATTTACAAATCCGTTATGGAGAGAGAGAGAGAATGAGGCCAGAGAGGAGTTGATCAATCTAATGCTAGGAGATTCACATCGTGAGGTTAAATGGCACATTATGACTAAGCATGTCCTGAGCATGCCAATATCGACAAGTTGCTTAGATGACCATTTCTATAGAGCCATGAATCACGTCACTTTCTTTCGATCCAAACTCTGTTTTAAACTGTCCTCATTGTGTAACTATAGCCGGATGTTGATTGTTTGAGAGGGGCAATGAAACTCTCAATCGGATTGCAAGATATACGACCTCTTCCCTCTTTATATGGGCACTAAAGCCGAAGTGAACTTTCCAACGGACGCGTAGAAATTATCATAGGTGGGCATTATTATGGTTTATGTCTCAGCGACGAAACCTGTATACAAAGACCGCTAGCGCTCAAAGGAGACAAAACGTGTAGTCTCTGTAAGCAGGAGGTCTTTATGAGAAGGTTATTTCAAGAGCCCCCACCGTTTCAATGCAAAACCCTGTTCACGGGGGATATTGTAGTCTGTATACAGGTGGTCTTTCTACACAGGTGGCCCCTAAAGTAGCATCATGTTTGAAATAACTGATTAGGCTTCCTCGACAACACTGCTGAATTGCACAAATTGAAAATAAAGATAATTTTTGCCCACTTTATAAAGAGAATCACGTCTGCATTTTACCACCTTCGAGTGAAAATACAAAGATTAAAATTTCAGCAAAGTTGTTGTTCCTCGTTTATGGTGATAACACACGTGAATCACAAAACGCTCATTTTGATTGATGCCATTCCAATCTCTTCCTCTCCAGTAAAATGCAGTTATCCGTTGACGTATTGAGTAATGTCCAGGTATGGTATGGTATGATATTTATTTTCTAAATCAAGATATAAAAACCATACATCCGAGGTAGAAAAGTGCATTACAAAATCAGGAATAGGCCTAGGTTAATGGCTGGATACCAACTCGGCTTTGTACAAATGTCAAAACTGCCCTTCCGTGGGACCCTGCTAAAGCCAAAAAATAGTTCTTTATTGTATTCCGAGACGTTGACGCACATCGGTGGAGCCTATACACAGTACAGACCACGATCTAACCACTTGCTTAAGGCGATGCCACTTCAGTTCAGGTAAAAAAAAGGGTCTCAAACTTTACGTTCTTAAGGCTTCTTCACTTCCTTTGTTTAAGCGCTTCCGACTTCGGAGATCTGTTGCAGATGCATGCTTACATGACACGAACAGCCTGGTAACATTATGAGCGTGATGAACTGTTTTCAAGAATATAGCAGAAAACTCATTTAGCACCTAGATCCAGCATGTTGATTATGTAAAGGCCCCCTAGTATGATTGTTATTTCAACAAGAATAAAATGTTTCGAGGCAGGAGTCTAGACGTAGGGTACGTTGCATGACTTGGTACAATGCCTTCCACACCCATGCTCTTTCTTAGCAGTTGATCGACTGTTACTGTAAAGAAGGTTTGATGATATGGATTTTTAGACATAATTGTCTTTCAGTCTTTACCTCTACAATACTTCAAGGTGATTGCGTACATACCTGGTATAGACCTATAATCGATGAACCGTGACAGATCTATCTCGCCATGCAAGTGAGGAAAGTACCACAAACAGTTGTATGCCATTGTTGAGCATCATAATAAGTCGGCGGTACATCATTGTGCTCAAATGTCTCAGATTAGGATGTAATTGGGGGTCCTGCACTGATAAACAGGTAGTTGCATTCGGTTATCGAGTGGATCCTTTGTGATTTTATCTGCCCCCCCCCCGACAGATTTCAGATCGAGGAAACACTGCTGTCATTTTTTGTTTTACATTAGAAGTATTCATAGGTTTACCGAGGGAAGCCCATCAGCTCCGGTGCTATTCTTCACGACGGCCCTACAATTATTATTATCCCAAACCATCATTATCGCAACTATTTTCGAAAAATAAATCAAAGGCAATTTCAATACCCGGTTGTACATCCCATGGAAATAATGTTTGCATTGCATAATACCTCATTAACATGTTAGCACATTGCGCTAGGTGAGGCACAAGGCTATTCATTTATATTGCCTTAGGCCGATTTTTCGAAAGTAGCTGTGATCGTGTTCCTAACAATTGCCATGTACTCATTCAGACCTGGGTGGAGAGTGGCAAATGTGCATAAATGTCTTGCCAATGGACGTTAGTACCAGGCCGGGGTTCGAACCACAAACCTTGGATTGAGCATCAAGTGAACGAATCACTATTATAGTGATTCATTGACTTGACGTATAATACTACACAACCTAGCAGTTAGGGAATCATTTTGGAAATACGATTAATAAGATTGCACATGGAATCGCCCAAAAATATAGAGACATTCTTAAAAGATTTACATGTACCCTTTCTTCCCCCAATACGTAATTTTTAGGCGACACCCGGTACTGCAATGCAAATAACCACTGCTCTCACAAACTATTTTTTCTTAATGAACGGTTTGTATTCTATAAAAAAAGACAGATGAGATACTTTGATACCTACTGGGGCCCAAGATCTGCATACGCGACATCACTAAAATTACCCTAAAAAGTAGTAGAAGAAGAAAAAGGAAAAGAAGAAGAAGGAGAAGAAGAAGAAGGAGAAGGAGAAGAAGAACAAGAAGAAGGAGAAGAAGAAGGAGAAGGAGAAGAAGAAAAAAGAAGATGAAGGAGAAGAAGAAGAAGAAGAAAAAGAAGAAGAAGAAGAAGAAGAAGAAAAAAGAAGAGGAAGGAGAAGATGAAGAGGAAGAAGAAGAAGAAGAAGAAGAAGAAGAAGAAGAAGAAGAAGAAAAGACACAATAATCATGTATGGATTTCATAAGGAGCTTGATTTCTATCTTTGGTACTCAACAATGAGCGCCCTCACCAGTTCATGTATACTGTCCGATTCAGTCCGAGAACCAGAGCTATATATATATACACACAGAGTTCGGCTAACTTGCTACAGTTGGACATAGTAGGGAGCATATTATTGCTTTATTCAAGTTTACTACTTGTTGTGTCCATCTGCAAAGGAGTTGGCTAAATCAAAAGTCTTTGCTCAGTACTTCTAGATCAGTTGTTCATAATCTTGTTAAATTCCCACTTCCCCATCTGACATTTCATGTCACTGCCGTTATACCGTTATCTGATTTGATAAAGTACACTTTTGTTGCCAATAGAGTTCGATAACTTCTTTGTCCTCTTTTCATGAAATTATTGTTAGAATATGACTATAAATTTTTGTTGGTACATGTTCTCCGAAATTTCTAGATCCATCTGTAGTCGTGGAGATTTCATGAGAAGAGGTAAATAGAAAGTTAATACAGCCTTCCGGGCTACAGTGTAAATCCACCCCTCCCCATAAGTACCTCCATGCAGATCAGGGAGTAGGAGGAGAGAGGGAGAGAGAGAGAGAGAGAGAGAAAGATAGAGTGAGAGGGGAGTAGGAGAAGAGGGAGAGAGAGAGAGAGAGAGAGAGTGAGAGGGTGAGAAGAGAGAGAGAGAGAAAGAGATATAGAGAGAGAGTGAGTGAGTGAATGAGTGAGAGGGGAATAAAGGGAGAGGGGGAGGAGATAGAAGAGAGAGAGAGAGAGAGAGAGAGAGAGAGAGGGAGTGTGTGTGTATAATTATGTGTGTGTATGTGTGTGCGTGTGCGCGCGCGTGTGTGTGTGTGTGAGAGAGAGAGAGAGAGAGAGAGGGGGGGGGGGGAGAACGGGAGTGTTATATTTGAGTACTTGTGAAAGCAAACTATGAAATACATGTACGTATAAATACCAAAATTAATAATTACATTGATCATTTGATCACAATTGACCTGCAAATTACGAATACTGCACCTTCTCCATCATATTTTCATTATAGATTGTTTTAATTCTTCATCTCTCTCTCACTCTCTCTCTTTCTCATCATGCCTACTTTTCCCTTTTCTTCTCTTTATCCCTCTCCCTCTCTCTCTCTCCCTCTCTCATCTTGCCTACCTTTCCCTGTTCTTCTCTTTACCCCTCCCCCTATGTCTCTCTCTCTCTCTCTCTCTCTCTCTAATCATGCCTACCTTTCCCTTTTCTACTCGTTATCCCTCTCCCTCTCCGCTATATATATATATTTCTTTCTATCTATCTTTCTTGTCCCCCCTCTTTCTCTCTGTTGCGTCTTAATAATTTATGCCTCTTTTACTCACTTTCTTGCCATTTCATACCATATTTCATATACATTGTACATTTAATTTAGATGTCGATATGATTAATCAGAAATGAAAATACAATCATCGAGACTGTATAAATGATACATAAGGCTTTTAAGATACCAAACTACTGCACCGTTGAAGTTGGACTGAAACCTAAGAAAAATACGTTTTTACCATAAATCAAATAGGTCTATGTTCTTACTTATATACATGTAATTACTAGACAGTTAAACTACATACATAACAACTGTACCATTGCTTGTCGTATAATGTCATACATTGATGCATATACTATAAGGCAGCGGATGACTGTGCATGTACAGTGTGTTCAACATATGACATTCCAAGGATGCCAAAGCCAATTGGGCCGTGTACATTTCAACAGCGAGCGAACCCGAAGTTGATTTGGACATTGACACCGCATTAGAAACCCCTTTCCAGGACATTTCACAGGCACCCAACGAGAACAAAGAAATGGGCCAAGGAAACAACAAGAGCGTGAAAGCAAATTATATTTATTTTATTCTGTTTTTCTCTCTGTCTGTCTCAATCTCGTTGGAACTTCCCGTTCGGCTGGAGGGTTGACGTGAACTTTATATCTTCAGTAGACATAGGAGTTACAAACTCTAGTCGATTATAACACAAGAGATATAATTGTGTTTAAGAAAGAAAAAATAAATCGTTTCAAATACTACTTTAAAATCTACATTTATGGTCGATTTCAAGCCATTCAGTGAACAATTTTATATTCTCTTGATATCTCAATATTTGGTTTGACTTTAATTCATACTAATCCGATTAATAAACATTAATTAACCAGGGTGTCTGGTCATATAACGATTGAGATATTATTGTAGAGCAATTTAGTTTCATATCGTGTACAAGTCATGCAAGCTTTATCACTTAACATTGTAAAGACTGAACTATAATATATTGAAAAGCAGCATGATAAATGAAATGAAATGATGAGAAACATTTATGCAGCTATTCTCTGCATCTGTTCAAAATAATATATGACGGAAATAGCCTATGCAAACTAAAAAAAAACACTAACCAACTTCCGCGTGATTTAGTGAAAATAACAAAATTGCTACCATTAATTTTAGTCATTTATTTGGTAATTACCAAAGAGATTTTGTAACAATCACAGTGTATCAAAACGATTTCAAGAATGTAACTATTTAACAGATTTGTCTACTTTTTTCAACAAGATTTTCTGTTTTTTAGTTTCCTTGGATAACTTGCATAGTCACTTCAGTATATTGGGTGTAATATCAAGCAGATAATATACTTCCAGTGAATTTAAAATTGGAAGTCAGTATAACGGTATGCAAAATAATAATGTAGTTCAAAATTGTATACACAATTCTAAGTGGAAAGAACATGCTATTTTGTATCGTTTGTAACACAAACACAAACAACCCCTCTATTGAAAACACAAATTTACACATGATTTTACTTAATTAATGTTTCTAGGTATTTTACAACTATTTACATATAATTTGTACATTATTTTCTTGGATACGAGTTAAATAGCGGGCAATTTATTTCTAGTGGTTTAAACATACAAACATAATGATATGATATAAATACAGGCACAATATTCAAATGCAAACTGTTTTTTATAATTTGATTTGTTTTGTTTGTTTTAATTTGCACGTTGCATTATTCAATATAATATACATTTCAGTTGATCACTGCACATGCTTCAAATTGGCAATTATTCATCGACGTCATTACACATCAATCACAGCAACCAATAGAAATATGACACGTGTACATGTGAAATAATACGATGATCATAATACCGCATTGCTAAAAAACCATAACAAATTTCTAACTGGCATACGATGGAACTATAATGGCTTTCAATTCAGGCACAGTATTTTATTTTCATGTTATGACCTGCATCATTAATTACACAAGCATTTCAATAACTTGGCACGTCTGATAATTTACACTTTTAGATTTACATTTATCTATATATATATACATGATAATTATACAAAGCTAGCTATGTGCACGATTTTCACTCATTCATAACACTCAGAAGTGAATATCGTTGCAGTAACAAACACAATGCTGTTTCATTTCGATAAATATTAACCGTAAGACAATTTATAACGGTCGAGAAGTATGACCACTTGACGAATTCGCCATTGTTATATATAATAGGGGTGCAAAATGTATCCACATTCATCATTATCATTATTCCTATGAATATGAACAAGGCACGGTTATAATTCACTGTGAATTCTTTGATTACAGTTTCACTCGGCAGTCGGCACATCAACTGTTTTCTTAATCTAAACTGAAATGTTGCTATTA